AAAGATTCTGCTTAGATTTTTCTATGGTGCAGCTAGAGCATCTCAGGCAGAACTATTCAAAATAGCAAAGAGTAAGCCACCAGTCATCCAGTGACAGGAGGAATCTGCTGATTAAGACATCCATGAAACTGTAAGAGAGATCCTAGGGAAAAAGATTTGTAACTAGAGAAAATGAAGTGGAAGTTAGTCTTCAGTACTACGTTCAGTTACTGTCAATTACTCAGCAATCCTTTTATGTTATTTCAGGCAGACGGAGTGAGAGAGAGACTATCAGAACAGCAGTACAACCGCCTCGTGGAGTACGTCACAAAGACATCTTACCACCTCCCCCCCAGCAGCGCCGCAGTGCCAGCACCGCAAGCTGTGGCTGCCGAACACCTTCCAGCTGTAACGAAAACATATAACTATGTGGTTGATCCCAATTTTGCCCAAGTATTCATTAGCAAATTCATAATGGTAAAAAATAAAGCCTTGAGGAAAGGATTTTATTAATAAACGCTAGTAATATCTTACCATTTTGACATAACACTTCCTATGCAGTAATGTATCAAGGAGAGATGCATATAATTTTTGAGGAAGTAGGAGATAATAACCAAGTTAAGCTTTTCTAATCGTGACAGCATACCTGCTCTGTAGCCAAGATGCTGGTGCTGGAAGGAAAGTGTTCTAGCAAATGAATAATGTGAAAGAGAAAAGCCCTAGGCTATGTAGTTCGATCAAAATCCTTTTTCTTTCAATAACTAAAAATCAGGGACTAAGGAAAAATTGCATGCATAGAGACATTTTTGCCACACAAAACATATGTATCAATACATACTATATCATATTTTAGGGTCTGCCAGTTTCTGTTGTAAACCAGGTTTATAACTCAGCTGTAAAAACTTGCTCAAGGCTGAGCCTTTCCCCCCACACATGCACTGCCCCCAGCACGCACATCCTGAGGCAAAACATTTTCCCCCACTAAATCTGAAAAACCCAGCGTGGCTGTTTTAAGTTACTTAGTGACAGCTGGGTTTTAGCACCACTTTAACCTTAGAATAGCTTCCTTTATTTGACTGAAGTTTTGCAGGACATTAGTCCTTAATGTAAACTAGTGCCTTTGTGTGGTTTGGAGAACAAAACATGAACTACAGCATGAATTTATTTTTAAAACCGTCTGTATACAGAAACTTTATTTCATCCACCATCAGATTTTCAGAACTTTCAATGTATATATGACACTGTGCGTTGTCTGGTCATTAGCTGGAAGCCAGTAACATGCAGTTCAAAAATTTATGAACCAGAGCTTAGCCTCCTTAAAATCAGCTAGGAATCTATGAGCTCATAACATAGATGTGCAGGTGCTAAATACAGCCATGGTGGGTCTTCCTTACTGCTGATCTGCCACCACTACACGTAGTACCAGTTTACTTAAGCCCTATTTTATGCTTATCACCTAAAAATAGGGATGCTTAAAAGTATCAACCTTTCAGATATTATCTGTGCTAAGGAAAATGAGATTTTTTTTTTCATTTTGGTCCAAAAGTAAGGACCCACAGGTTCCAATTACAGTAATTAATAGTTAACGATGCCATTGCAGTACACTTTTAAACACATCAAGACAAATGAGCTTTCTAAGTAACTGTTGAAGTTTTACAGTTTGTAGTAGAGAAGGAATCATTCTGGGCACCGTTAATTACTTGATGAACCAAATCTGTCTAGAGCAGCTTTGTTTTTTTTTAAAAAAAGAGCTTACTTGGCTTTCAAGTGTGCTTGTAACCTCTCTATATACTCACAGACATTCATTTTGTCTCGGGATTCCTGAATGTGGCCAGAATTAAAGGCAGGAACTGGAATAAAATCTGATCAACAGTTAGAGCAAATAGATACGTTTGTTATTTAATACTTTCTATGCATACCGGATATGACCAAATGCACAGTACCTACGAATGGAGTATTGGCAGTGTTTTTCTCATGAGGTCTTGTTAAATGTGATTTCTAAAAGCCGTGTCTCTCGTATACTGAAAGACAGAAGCCTGATTGTCCTTTCTGAATGTGAAATGAGCCCGTTCCTTGTCAACATTTCATACAGTGCTTTAATAATTTCATCTTTGTTTTAATATCATTATTTAAAAAATAAATGTATATACACACACTTCATTCCTGAATATTTTATGGAGATAGTTTAATACTTCTAATTTTGCATATTGATGCAGAAATTGTAATATAGAGATTGTTTAAAGATAAATAAAGCTATTCCTATAATAGTTGTTTCTGTGAGTTACTTGGCCATTCCATTACAGTGAAGGAATAGTCACTGTGTAGAACAATACTGATAAAGATACGTAAGCTTCACGTAGACCCCATTAGATTCCTGTTGGTCACTGGCCTTTGTCATATACCAAAAAACAAAATAGATCCTGACAATGCTTTGGAAGTAAAGAGCTGCTCGTTACCTTGCCAAAACATGTGCTGAAATGTTTTACAGTTTTGTGACTAGCTGAATCAAAACAGCATTGCAGTCACCATTTGAATTAGAGCAATCTGTTCATCTTACATGTGGCACAGAACCCAGCCGAGAGGACACAACCACACCTGTGAAGGATGAGGGATGGCAGCAGCTCAATTCCTAAAACTTTGTAGATTGCTGCCATTGTTTACCCTCTATTTGTGTTTTTCCAGAATGATATTGTCTTGGAATAAACACTTGCTTAAATTACGCTCTTCTTCAGTGAAGTAAGCGAGCATCTTTACTGCATTAGGCAGGTTCCTTCTCCCCCTTCTGACCACATGTATGGAAACATGTGCAGAGATGGCATATAAATCAGCCTCTCCTACATATGAGCTGTGTGAACTATGAAAACAAAGTTGTCCAACGAGCAGCTGCCTGTACTTAGCTGCTAAAGCACTCCAATGTGTACCCTTAAAGCATACCTACTTTCATAACGCTCTTTAGACCTGGAGAGCTCACAACTTCAAATCTATCTTTTTTAGTTTGCTTCCAAAACAATCAATCATTCCTCAAACACTCAAGAAAAAAGCAAGCCAGCCAAAAACTCGGAGGTATAGTCACTTATAGATGGTAAGACTCTTCCCAAAGTAGTTTAGATCAAACAATCCCTTTTTATATATTGTTTCACATAAAAATATAGCAAAAAAATAAAATAAAATAAAATAAAGTAAAAAAACAACCACCCTTTACAGACAGTTGGAAGTGGAGGTGGCCTTAGGGCAGACAAGCTGTGCGTCTCCTGTGAACAGTGTGCCAGACCATCACAGGCAGCTGAGTAGGGTCTTGCTCACACAGGCCTTCGTTGTACCATACTAGGTCCCAACTGTTTGTTAAGAAAGACTTAACTTTAAAGAACCACAAGAGAAACTGATAGCTTGGTGCTGATAGCAGAGCAGGTTAGCCCTTCTGCCTACCTCATAATAGCAGGCCCCAGCTTTGCCCTCCAGTCCCAATCAAGAGGAAAGGAATAGCTTGGCTGGCATTGCAGGCTGAAAGGAAGTACTCATTTTGCATTGTTTTGTGAAAACATAACAATAGCATTATAAAGAAAGCAACACACTTAACTTACGCACTGATGACTCCTGCAAACAGAGCAGAGCACACCTTTCCTTCTTGGTGAACACATTTAGACAGGAACAGCTTTGAGGAGTTCTGCTGCACAGACTAAAAGCTCTTCTGTCACAGAATTCTCCTTGGAATCAACCAATGCCAGTAGCAGAATGAACACACAACTCTAGTTGGCAGTTAAAAGTTTAGAATAAACAACTTAGAATTTCAAAGTAAATTCATTCCTAACAACTGGGAAGACTGCATGGGCTAGAGCTGGGAGGGAAGTTGGGTTCTTTCCACTCGCACACCTGGCAGTAGCAAGTAGCCTTGCCTCTGGAGCTGTCATTATGACTGAAGACCCCTGGCTATTTAAACCTGCAGACTACGGCTGAGAAAATGTTAGTCAGTATATAATGACATACCATGTTTATACTGTACATTTGGAAGATAAATTGGTATCATTTGCAATTGTTAAACTTCGGTTTACATTTATAGGAGCGGGGGTATTTTGATTACTAGATGGTTTCCCCTTCCACCACTAATGTCAAATTCTTTCTTTGGTCAAAGGAAACACTGCACGTACTGAAAGTTTAAAGAAAATCCCATGTTGCTCCATATTAGTGTTCTGGATCAAATACATTATTTACATGCTTTCATTAGTCCAAATGCTGCTCACAGTTACCTATTAAGTTAAGTAGTTAATGATCCATTTAGAATAAGAGTTACTCCAAACAGGATTTGAACTGAAGACCTTCAAATACAACACAGATGGCTTAATTTGTCATGCTTCTTCATACAAAGCCTTCCCTTCTTTCACGTGATCAGCTTTGACTCCTCTGATAGTACCCACATTCAGCAATCAAGAGCTTCAGCCACACAAATATATATATACTTTCAACCTCAGCTAAAGGCAATGCACACAGCATGTGCCCCGTGACCAATAACAAAGCAGAAGATAGTGCATCAGGTCTTGGACTGTAGCCCTTTGAACATCAAATACATGTGAATACACTTGCAGTTTAATTTCCCAATTGCAGTTACACACCATGTACGAGAGTGGTCATTTGCATACTTTCTAAGTCTTGATGTAACACTTTGCTGCTGTAAGGAAGACAAAGCAATGGCAGCAAAGCTATGAAAGTTGGCTGATGCATTTCCAGAATTCCCAACAATTTTTCTCATCTCAATGTTAATTCACTTCTGAAGGCAGAGACCCTTCCAGAAATCCAGCCTCTCCCTTCCCGTAACAACAATCACCTTGCATATTCCCATCAGCAGCAGAGACAACCTAGCCACTATTGTTTAAGAACGTACTTGATCAAATTTGGCCAAAGTAAAGATGCAAATAACTCTAAGCAGACAGAAAATTAGCCTTAGGTCTCTAGTACAATTTATGAAGACTTTTCACCACTCTTTCTGGTATGTAAGCATTCTGACCATTAATGAATGATAATTAAGCTTCGCTGATGTATGTATTTTATTTATTGAGATACATTAGAGCACATCATATGCTGAAGTACATTACACTTTATAATTCAGAGAACACGTAAGGTTCAGTCATTAAGTCTCCTTAGGCTGAAGGGGATCTGTTGATCTGCAAGATAAAAAGAAATTAAGTTATGCTGGACAAACCTCATACTCCCAGTAAAGACATTAGTAGGTAGGAAAGCAAAGCAATAGAGAGAAATGTTTATGTGGTAGTTTAGTCTAGAGGAATTCCCTCTGTTATTTCCTGACAGTTTAAGATTCACACACCCTTCATGTGGCAAACAGAAGTGAAACATGGAACAAATCAAGAGCTGGAACAATCCTGCACAGCACGTCAGATTCACTATACATGCAGCACTGATAACTGAATCAATCTTGCTAAGGGCCTAAAAGAGAAAGGAATGCAACTTTCAGAGAGAAGCCAGAGAGGAAACAAGTGGTGTAGGCAACCTACCAAGGAAGGAAGAAAACCAAATTCAAATTGCTTCTCCACATTATATTGAACACAATCCAACACCAGCTGTGTTCCAGGACAAGAGTCATGCAAGTGGTTAGCACCAAATTCTTAGCTTGCCCCTTTATTATATTGCGGAGCACACTCTAGAGGTAGGACACTCCCCAGACCCATACTTAGTTTCCTTTATCAGTACCTTCACACAGTCTGTGCCAGTAGCTGAAACTGTAAATCCATGCACAAACACTAAGTCCTTCAGATCCCAGGAGGAACAAACTCTGTGCAGCATTCCAAACAAGCACCTTTACTAACAAATTCCTCTCCCCACGTACCACCTCTTCAGTTTCAGGGGTAAGCACTGATTCCAGAGTGAGTACTAAATGAAGTTAAAGCATTGTATTTACTGCCCCATACAGAATATATTCCAATAAAATGAGAGCAGCTGCAGAATATGCATGACCACTGTACCCTTTAGGTAACTGTACAAAAAAACCCATCAAATTCAACCTCCAACTTCCATAAATAACATTTAAATTTCTGAGGGAAATGAAAATGTCTTCCATCTGTTTTGTGTACTTGTCCTTCTTACAGACTTTTCAGACTATTTGAAACAGTGGCTTTGTTTGCTCCCTTCTCCTACTATACTGTAGAAAAATACGAGTTCTTACGTAAGCAGGAGAAGGAATAAAAAGCACCAGCAATTAAAACAAACAAAATGACATATAAAGATTTATCCTTCACATTTTCTTTTGAGACGATGCAATTAAGGAATGGAAGAAATGTTTAGGAAACATTTAATTTTAACAGGTGCATACAATGTGTAACTTGATTTTTTTTAAGCCCCAAATGGGAACATAAGTAGAGGGGAGCTCTGCTCACACAGAAAAATCCTGTTCATGATTCCAATTAAATATTTAACATGGATCACTGTTGACAGTGTTTGTTTCAAATGGTTTTACCACCAGATGGCCTTTCCGAACACTCTGATGAAGGCCACCTGACTAAAGAATGCAATCCAGTGTCTAGGAAAGTTAGAAAGTCCTTATTTGTTAGCAAGGACCAAATGAGAGGGAGAATTACCGAGATAAAAACCAAGTAAATTTGTCATTTTGTTATTTACCTTTTCTGGAGTCATTATCACTAGAGCACAGGCACTCTTTCCTCAAGGGGAAAGGAAGAAAAAAAGATCTGTAGAATGACTTAGATAGCTGGAGCTCTGCTTCTGTTACACAGATAGGTCTAGATTGTCCCACGACAAAATTTCTTGCTAACAGTGTTAAGTACAAATGTTTTATTCAATCTTGCTGCTTCAAGCAAACAGGCTGAGAAAATCCAGCTGGACAGGATAATTAGAGCCACAGATTATCACGTAATGATCACAATACGAAAACATTCCAAAAGAATGAAAAAGCTATCATCTCAGATTAGTCTGGAGTCATTTTAAGAGAAGCAGAGAACTCAGTGTCAGAAATCCCAATGAAAAAGGGGGGAGGAATTCTTCGTTGTCACATCACGAGCCTGCGCAGTTGGCTGCGTGCTTATTAATAACTGTAACGAGGTTGAAATCAAGACTTTTTCCCAGTGTTACAATAAGAAGGAAGGAGAACAGAGTTTGGCAATGCTCATACAAAAGGCAGCGCAGTAAGCACTGTGAGAAAAGAACCCTGAACAAAGTTCTATTGCTGAATGCAGCAAGGCAAAAATCTGAATCTCAGTACACAGGACACTTAAATATATGTATTTAATACATGCATGTATGCATGCTTCCCCTCAGGAGTAGTTATCTTTCCCCTCTAACCAGCCCCAAAAGACAAAAGGATGTGTGGAAACTGTCTCTACTTCTCACATAGAGATCCATGCAGTGAAACAGCCTTACCATTTTCTCCTTCACCGTACCACAAGCACCACAAGCAGCGTGTTTTGATAGCCCAGAGTTAAGCAATTCAAGATGTGACCACATCAATATAAGAGTGCTATCAGGAAAGTCTTACATGAAAGCTTTGCTTCCTCTCCATGCAAGGACAGAACTGTTTGGAACACTGCTGCATGAGAAGGGAAAGGCCTGGCACCACTCTGCAGGTCTGCTGTAGCTCACACATTTTATCACCCAAAAGATATTCAGGAGATTCCCATTCTGCTCTTACTCCCTCTTCTCAGTTCCTATGCTTCTTTATGATTTTATTAACCACAGCTCTCGTGAGGAGCACAACTGTACCTTGTTTTCTTTGTGAGCACTTTTTTCGTCCAACAGAAAAGGAAGAAGTGCAAATGGAAGCACAATGTTTCACTAAACCAATCCAAACTTCCCTTCTGATACAGTGTAGCTTATTACCTGGAAATGCAGATTATGGTCATTTGGGCGGTGCAGACTCAAACACACCAGCTGCTCTCATGGCTTCAAAGTCCTTCATGGGATCATAGTTTTTATAGAACTCTGCATAAGCTCTTTTTCTGGGATCAGCAACTCCAAACTGGAAAGTAACACACAGAAAATTAAAGCTTGCAAAGCTTTACAGGTGGCAGCGGGTTTGCTTGGTTGGCTTTGCTTTCTTGCTACTACTGCTATGATTTTAGCAGTGGATATCAGTCTAAACAGCCTCAAGTTCAATGACAGAAGCGAGTAAAAGATTGCTATGTTCCTGTTCAAATCCACATTTCAGGCTTCCTAACTGTTGGTCTGGAAAATAATGTCTACAGTGAAACCTTAAAGAGATTACACATGACATTTTTAAGATCCAGAAACACTGTCTATACTGATACTGATAGCCAGCCTCTGATAGCTGTACACATAACACAAACTGTTATGGCAAGTTCTGAGTATGCCTGTGGACAGCTGCACAACTGTAACTTGAGGTCAAATGGCATCTCAAAATAATTGATTACAGTTCAGCTACACTGCAGGATAAACTATGGAAGTCTAGTAAAATGCTCCTTGGAGTAAATGCTCACTCAATTGAGGCACAAGGATATGCTCAAAAAGCCAAAAAAAAGCATGAAGGAAAGGTCAAAGTGGGTTTGTCCAACAGCAGTGAACAAGTAACAATGCGGCCAAGATTCCAGTACTTCTCACATCCCTGAGCCCTGCATCCCTACACGTCTGTGTGGGGACTGGGGTGGTAAATCCCCCCCTGCTGCAAGGACAGAGCAGGTCCGAGACCGCCTCATGAGACTGAGTGTGTTCAAATCTATGGGGCCAGATGGCGTGCATCCCAGGGTTCTGAAGGAGCTGGCTGAGGTGGCTGCCGAGCTGCTCTCCATCATATTTGAAAAGTCGTGGCTGTCAGGTGAGGTCCTGGATGACTGGAGGAAGGGTCACATCACTCCCGTTTACAAGAAAGGGAGCAAGGAAGACGCCGGGAACTACAGGCTGGTGAGTCTCACCTCTGTG